AAAATTCTGAAATGAGTGTGAAAAGCAATCACTTCCTATCTCAATGCAAAAAAAAAAAAGACTCTTTTAAAAGATTTACTTATTTTTATTACAAAGTCAGATATATAGAGAGGAGGAGAGACAGAGAGGAAGATCTTCTGTCCATTGATTCACCCTTCAAGCGGCCACAGCAGCCGGAGCTGTGCTGATCCGAAGCCAGGAGCCAGTTCATGTCCTGGCTGCCCCACCTCCCAGCCAGCTCCCTGCTTGTGGCCTGGGAAAGCAGTGGAGGACAGCCCAAAGCCTGGGACCCTGTACCCATGTGAGAGATCGAGAAAAGGCTATCCCAGGCTTCAGATAGGCTCAGCTCTAGCCATTGCGATCACTCAGGGAGTGAATCAGCAGATGGAAGATCTTTCTGTCTCTCCTTCTCTCTGTAAATCCAACTTTCCAATAAAATAAAATAAATCCTTAAAAAAATTTTTAAAACAAAGTATATTTCTAAAGAATATAAATGATTCTAAATCATTCACATTCCATATTTTAAAAAGTCAAAATAGTTTCCAATTTCAAATACCACTTCTCTTGTTTATTTTTTAAGTAATTTGCGAAAGTGTTTAACCTGCTATTTATCAATGCGAATCAAATAACTGTCATTAGCAGAGTTGCCAAGAATGAAGTATTATCAGTAATAATTAATTCAATGGTAAATATGATTAAAGGAAACATTTCGGGTATGAGATAAACATACCGCCCCATCCCTGCCATCTGTACTCCCTCCAAAGGCCCCACTGGGAATCCAGCTCTGACCACTGCCTTGTGTGGCTGCTGGAATTCCTTGGCTTGCTGCCCCAACACTGAATTCCTGCATCCTGCTCGCATAGCCTTCAACTCCACTGCCAGTGTGTAATCTCCCACTTCTTCCCTTTCTAAGGTACCTTTGATTGTGCTATCACACGACCCAAAATAAACATCCTACCACAAGATCCTGAATCTTTCTCAGCAAATCAGACTAGACTTGGATTTCTTGGGGAGGAAGGGGGGGGGGGCGGAGAGCACTGCTAAGCCTATCACTGAGTGTCTTCCTAAATCCACATTAGTCAAAATTAACTTGGTGAGGAATCCCATCGTCCTAGCCCGCAGGCCTTCCGACCCTAGGCACTGTGAACACATACTGCTGAAAAGAACTCAGCAATCCATCACTGCACAACATCCACTTGTCTCTCAACATTAGAGGAAAAGTTTTGTTTACTGTGTGAAATGAATACAAATCTGCTCAAATGTTTATAGCTTCTTTAGAATTATCTACATGTTTTATTTGATATATACACATAGTAAAAACTAAATTTTTTCGTTCTCTTCTAAACTGGTAGTGAGATATTTTTGTGGGCAGGATCTACCTACTACCCCAACATACTTTACGAAGTTCGATAATAATTAATTGTTTTAAAAAATTTGAGACAAAGTACTTTCCAAAGACACCAACTTATTTTTATCCTCTGAATTTTTCCAGACACACAATCTTAAGACCCACTAGCCCTTGAATCTACTCCAGAGCCAAGAGGTTTTTATTCCATAAAAACAATAAATTCCAGATGAATTAAAGAATTACATGCTAAATATAAGAGCTTTAAAGAAACAGAAACAAAACATAACAATAGGAAAAACAGACAAAGAACCAAAACAATCACGTATGAAAAAAGGTCACTTAAAAGTAATGCACAAAGAATTTGTATTAAGGCAATGTGACCATGTTTCCAACTATTACTTTTTTATAGTCATCTGTGATAATACCTGTATGTACAGGGCAATGAGTTCTGGTCAACATACCATAACAGAATAGAAATAGACAGCCCTTTAGAAGATAATTTGCCATAGCTGTTCAGTTTTTAATTGTGTATACATTTTTACCCAATATATTGATGAAATGCCTTGCTCCTGGCTTCATATTGACCCAACTCCAGCCACTGCAGCCATTTGAGGAGTGAACCAGTGGATGGGAGAGCTCTCTGTGTCTCTACTTCTCCAACTATAACTCTATTTCAATTAGAAATAAGCAAATCTTAAAAAAAAAAAAAAATGATGCCCAGAAGACCAATTATTAATGTGCTTTTGCGAGTCCTGGAGATCCAAAACCCAAGAGCAGATGGGGGTCTACAATCATGACGTGAGTGCCAACACAGCGAATTTATAAAACTGAACTAAAACTTACCCAATACTAAAGAATGCTACTTCTCTAGGTGGGTTACTTTCAATATTTATTCCAGTGTTCCTATCACTAAGAACATCTTTAAATTTTACAGTTTAATTTTCTGGGATCAGCACAGGTAACATACATGAAAAGAGAATTCTCGATAATATTTGCACCTTATTTTTAAGTTAAATTGCTATTCAACAATATGTTCATTTAATCTTGGCATCCATGGTGGTCCTTGTACTAGCTTTAGATTCATTCCAAACAACTTTAGCTTCACAAACAAAGACTTTGCACAAGTTTGCTTAGTAACGAATAGCCACAGCTTTCCAAGGTTTAAGGAAAGGAACAGGCCCTGAAGTCAGGAAAGGCTCCCTTTCAACACTTGCCCAGGAATCCCCTCCTTTCCTTTTCACTCAGGGTTCCCCTGATGAAGGGGCTTCACCTCAGCAAATTCTCAAAAGTATCACCACCATTTCAACGTCAAGCTCAATCTTAATCTGCTACATGAAGCTGTTTGCCTTCTGAACTATAGAAACATGCAATCACCTGAACTGCTCACCTAGGTGGCATAGGTATGTTTACAGTTCTGATACTCCTTACATTCCAGCTACAACTGTACTTTACAAGGAGCCAGAAGAGGTGTGCTGCATCTCTTAATGAAATTCTTTGGAGATACAGATTGAGTGGTGCTGCTAAGAAATAGGGATCCGTTCTCTGCTGTGCAGTATCACTATCCTGGGCCTGTTGAATTCTGCTGAGACTTGAATGACTGCCTAAGAAGCAGGAGTTTTATACTGCAATATGGAGAGCAACTGAAAATCACTAGGCTCAAAAATTATGTGAGAAAGGTTAATGTAGAACATCAGTCCTAGGTGTAGGGCTGCCAGATTAGGGAATGTAGTAACATTGAGAGCAGGGAACATTATTAGTTCAGCCTACAGGGTTTGAAAGGTCAGAAAGCATCGAGTTCCCCAATAATTCCTAGCTGTGTAACCCTGGAAAAGTAAGGATTCACTTCCCTTATCTGTAAATAAGGGATAATAAAAACACATCTCATCCCACAGTAATAATACATGAAATAACACACAGCACACATACCACAACATATGACACAAAGACAGGCCTCACACACACACACAAAACCAGTTCTGACACCAAGCAATGACGTGTGCTTCAATTCAATTCAATTGTAATCCTCACAACCTGAAATCAGCATCAGAACCTACAAGTTTTAAAGAGCTAGGTCCCAGCCAAATTGCTTTTAACTTCAGGACAACCCACCTACCCTCAACTGTCTGACTTGAATACAAATTCAGAAACTCACCAAATCTCTCTGCAGAGCCACTAATCTCTGCAAGTCACAAAATTCAGTGGAAGCACTAAACTTACACAGTTAAAGTATTATCACAAAGGAGATGACCCAGGAACAAGCAAACAGAAGAGCCACCCGGCCATGGCCTGGGGGAGAGGGCAGGAGACACACAGCCTCCTACTGTCACTCAGAAAGTCCAGGTGCCAGGGGCTGGCACATCCTCAAGTTCACCACCACTGCTGCAGGCTCTGCCTAAGGAGCTTCACCAGTGAGGCGGACCGCAGCAAATCCCTGGGCATCTCTGGACACAATGTCCAGTCTCTCCCTTCTCCCAGAGACCCAGGAAGAGGGCCAGGAGTTCTCATTCCCTTTGACCTCGATCCTTCTCACGTGCACAGTTCCTCCCCTGAAGGTATCTAAAGACCCATCAGTCACCTCATGAGCAAAACCTCAGCAGTTGTCAAAAAGAGCTTATCATAAATGACAAAATGCACTACTATCAGGGAATTCGAAAAATCTTCTGTTATTATTTACTTATTGTGTCAAAGACACAATAAATGGAAGTTACTAGTTTAGAACCCAATTCATACTACTGAAACAATGGAAACATTAAAACGAGAAATCAAAAGTTTGAGAAAAATGCAAGTAATTCTTTTAAAAGGTAAGGGAAGGTATCAAAGCAGCCCATGAAGACTCAAGCCTGAACAATTAAGCAGAAATAAACATACTGGTAAGAAACTGAATGTGTAATGAGAATTAATTTAGTTTTACCCTAACTAAAGTTAATGGCAATAGGAAAGGATTTCAGATAAGCAGGGGACAGATGGAGATTAAGTGCCTAGAGTTTTATGGGAACATCGTTAGAATTAATGATCAAGTTTCCCTAAAACGTCCTTGCTGCCTCAAAGGGTGGGTATCCACTAGTGCCACTCTGTGCCCCGCCAGTCAAATGGAAGCAAATTACTACATGTGGCAGCAGGTGTGAGAGCTGAGCTCTATAACAATCCACTTAGTATGCTGGACTCTGAACAAAATGGTACCTAATTTATAACAAGGTTTCTGAAAGAATTATTAGATCAAATGGCAAGCAGGAATGTTGGATAAAATAAAAACATTTTAGAAAATAAAAAGTATTAAGTTAAGGGTACTTCAAAAATATCATGAAAAATAGAACTAAAAGATAACATGCTTGGATGCCAAAAAAATAAATAAATAAAATTCATGCAGCATTTTTCATTGCACACATTTCCCATGACTTTTATTAAATGCATGAATTCCAAAATACTTTGCATTGAAATAAACTAGTCCTTTAACTCCATTTTCCATGAACTTTTCGAAGTGTCCTCAAAACTTCTAACAGAAACAAATGCATAATTTTCAACTAAGGGTTACAGAACAAGCACAGAACATGTCAACAATACTACATTACTGGGAGCAACTATGATTGACTAAAAAGGCTTTGTGTCCAGATACATGAGGACCTCACACCCAGGAACCATGATACAGACTTACCCAAGTCGTTTATTATCCCGCTTTCAGAAAGTTCATTCAGTAGCTAGAAGCCACCTGATTCAGAAGCATCACAACTTATTTTTCCCTGTAATACTCATATCACCTCATCCTTTGTTGCCACCTTCCCAGGAAGGAGTACCAACTCCGTCGTCCAGCCTGGGGATAGGAGAAAGAGAAGAAGAGAAAGCCGACTTTGGGACACTGTACAAGGCTCATCAGATACTTCATCACATGTAATGAACCTTATTTAAGCACTGACTAAATTAATGCCCAAGTAACCCAGGAAACCAGGGAACTGTGCCTGTCACTGTGCTTAGGCCAGGCATGTCAGCCTGAGGGGACAGCCTACTGTGTGCACCTCTGCAGGCTCCCAGGAGGGAGGGAGGTTGTGACATTGACTTGAACCACCACACACGCTTTCCAAGGACACAACCCACACTAGGTCAAGGTCTGTCCTTGCCTCTACTGCTGATTTCTGGGAAACATAAATTCCCTCAGCCTCTGAGGATCGTCTAACTCAGCCTCTTCTATCTAAACCAATTCGTCAAAATATGACTCACTGCCTACCCCCACAAAAATCCCTAGTAAAACACCTGTCTGCATTAAGGTTCAGAAAGACAGGTCAGTTTAAACACAGTTCCTCCCCTTCCTCATTCACTCTACTATGCTCACCCAAAAACTGCCCCTGAAATTCAAAAAGAATCCTTTATATCATGCTTCAACACTATAAACAGCTAAATACTAAAATGAAAATAGACACGAGACAGCTGAATAGTAATCTATAGCCATTTTGAGGTGTATAGAACCTGGTTGAATATAAACCAAAATTGAAATGTCTATGAAGAAGTCACAGGATGTAGCTAAGAACCTGCATTTTCCTATTAACATATTGGTTAATCAATACCATGTCAATTAATGCTATAATGTTGTAAATTGTTGTTGATGTTATGTTGGGGCTTTTAATTGATTGGGATGATACTTTGCTGGCTTTACCTTCAGACCAGAGATGGTCTCACCAAGAAATCGTTGAACTCACTAGGATAATAAGATGCTGGACTTTATGCTTGGTAAATACTTCCAATGAAAGAACCTCAAATGAATTTGAACTGTGGTAATGCAACACGGTGGAGAAATCCACCATGGGGAGAGGGTTCAGGGAGGGGTGGGGGGAATCCCAGTGCCTATAACACTGTGTCACATAATGCAATGCAATTAATAAAAAAAAAAAAAAAGAAGAAGAAGAATCCTTTATAAATTAAGCAAAACCCAGCCCTTTCTGGTTCCTGCCTGCCAAACAACGTGCACAGATCTGCTCTCCAAATGTGCTCGCAGTAGAGGTAAGTGCCCCCTCCCTCCCTAGCTGCCCCATGCCTCTTCCCAGCACAAAGCCAGGCAGGCAGAGCGCCTTTTCCTGGCTGAGTTACCAGGCTGCAGTGCTAACAAAAGGCTTCCCAAAACAAAAACTCCATTTCCTTTCTCAGAGCAGCAAGGCTATGGCATACTAAAACATCTTTCCCTCCAAGAGTAACTACTATCAATTACTTCATTCCATTCTTTCCAAACACTGCCAGTTAAACTTAGGATTTAATTGAAAAAAATTACCTCATTTTCTTATTATTCTTACAGATTAAGAAATTAAGTCTCAGCAAGGGAAAATAATTGCCCACAATATTCTAATAATAATTACACAACAAAATAGATTTGTTAGAATGAGGTGCTGTGAGAAGTGTTACTTGAATCATTTCTTTCACTCCTCAGGATGACTATGAGGAATTAAAAAATAGCACTTCATTCACTATTTACAATGAGTAAACAGACTTGTTCCCAAATCACAGTGGTAGTAACTGCTACAGCTGGACGTCAGCCCAGCCAGGCCACCACCATGGAGCTCAGGCTGCTGAAGCGGAAATACCAACCAACAAATGAGAAGGTAACTATCTCCCATGCAAACACAAAATATGTTTCTGACTTTAATTAATTGATTAATTAGGGAACAAATAAAATGTTCCAGAGCAGACACACATTAGGCACTGCAGAGTACTGAAATGAATTTGCTGAACAGACAGAAAACTAGCTTCTTCCACTGAATAAGAGAAATCTGCTGCACTCCATCCAAAAGAATCCTCTGCATGTCTCAGCACACAATCACTCTGCCTTGCCATCAATCATGTACACCCTTACGGAGAACAGAGCACTGGCTGCTGCAGACCCCACAGATGCTCAGAAGGGCTCCCGCAACACCACTTTTTACCGAAGGCCCCCAGATCCGTTCAGTAAATTTCAGAACATCACAATTTTCCCTTGCAGATATTCTCACCACTGTGTGCATGCTTTTTCTTCTTCTGCTCTCAGATAGGAATCCACAGCTCTAAGATCTCTAACAACAACAGGGGAAAAAATTGAGCTATCTTTCTCCATAAAATTAACCTTTTTTTTTTTGCCTCAAATCTAGTGATTCTTTTTTTTTTCTTACGCTTTAAAAAAATTTTTTTTTTCTAATTGGAGAGCTAGATTTACAGAAGATGATGAGAAAGAAAGATCTTCCTTATGCTGGTTCATTCTCCAAATGGCTGCAACGGCCAAAGCTGCGCTGCTCAGAAGCCAGGAGCTTCTTACAGGTCTTGCACACCGATGCAGGGCCCTAAGGCTTTGGATTATCCTCCACTGCTTTCTCAGGCCACAAACAGGGAGCTGGATGAGGAGGGGAGCAGCCAGGAACCAGTGCCCATATGGGATCCCTATGCTTGCAGGCAAAAGATAAGCCAGTTGAGCCATCGTGCTGATCCCAAAATTAAGTAATCATTAAGATAAATTTTCTCTGCCACAAAAGAGAACTGAATTTAGATATTTAGATTATGACTTCATTTAAAAAAAAACATAAGTTAATTCACTGGATTGTCAGACCTCTTAAGAGAGCTAAAACTAAAGAGCGAGTGGTTCTACTAAATGATTTAAGTCCTCTATGGAGATATTAAGTAATAGTTACAAAGTTACTTGCAAGTAAGGGACCCAAAGGTTAACTTATCTAGTGTCTTACGGGTCAACTTAGGCATCTGAATTTCTAGCCTATGATTTCTTTTGAAGAACCTAGGCATTTTCTGCCTTTTGTGATTCTGCCTTAATGGCTTGGCTGGGGGCTGTGTGAACTCCAGGCAGTCTACGTGACACCTGGCAGGTCACGTAGGCAGACCACTCCTCAGGAAGGAGGTACCTGGTATTTGATAAGATTCACAGCCCAATAGCTCATCAATTTGTACTTTTTGAAAGTTGCTTGTTTTAAACCCACCAATAGAAGCCTGCTAAATCATGACTGTATAATTAATAGCCTAAAATGTATAAGAACTGGGGGGCTTGGGCTCTCACTTTTTTCTGGCTCGTGCTTCTTTTTGTCCTCCCTGCAGATCCTAGCAGCCTTGGCTGCGGCTGCCCCTCCCCTGCCCAGCCATGCTGGGCTGGGGCAGGTGGCTGGGATACCTAAGCTAACCTGAATAAACCACCTTTATGCCTTAGCACTGACTTCAGACTTGATGATTATCTGGGAATTTCAAAAATCCGGCACAACATTTTCACAAAAATGTAGCCCAACCCAACTTGCACTTCCAACAAGATCAAGCAGACGATATTGCTGACAAAAGTTCTCTCAAGACAAAGAACTGATAACAGCAGCACAAGGGGACAGAGAGCCCTTCACCTACACAACAGCCAAAAACTACAGAAGAAACTGTGGCCCAGCCCTCCCCCGGAGCGCAGGCGTGTGAGGAGCCAGAGGACCCCCAGCTGCTTCCAGCAGTCCCAAACCCTTCCTCCTCCCGCAGGGGGTATCTGAGAGTGCCTATCCCGCCCCGGCTCTCCCCATTAGCAATGTCTGCAGACCACAGGGAAAGCAAAGGCTTCTGTCCCACCTGGCCATGAGACACCTCTTCTTGCTTCCATGGAGTGGGAGCAGGAGGAACTCCCTGTAGAGTCAGCAAAAGCTAGCAGGTAACACTAAAGGGGTAGGCCAGTGCCAGTGAAGCCTAGAGAGGACTAGAAATTGCCACCCGAGGCCAGCAACGTGGGAGCTTGGCTTTGCATGTCCATGGTCACTTTCCTTCAAAGTATAATTAAAACACATGTCAGACTAGTTTGGTAGGGATATTTTAAGAAAACTCACAATTGAAAACCTTCCAGTAAAGATATCTCCTGATCTGGGCTATTTCATTGGCAATGTTACCAAATGTTTACAGAGAATTAACACCAATTCCACACAATCTCAGTAAACAGAAGTGAGCACTTCCCAATTCATGAAGCTCACATTACCTTCAAGCAAAAAAAAAAAAAAAAACCACCACACAATATGATAGTACAGGAGGCCACCACCAAGGCATGTATGTTAAGCCTCTGCTTGCCATACCCACATCTCATTCGGGTGCCAGTTCAATTCCCAGTTGCTTCATTTCCGCCCCAGCTGCCTGATAATGTGCCTGGGAAGGCAGAGGATGGCAGCCCAGGCCCTTAAGACCTGCACCCATGTATGGGAGAACCAGAAGAAGCTCCTGGCTCCTGACTACAGATCAGCCCAGCTCTGATTGTTGCACCCACTTGGGAAGTGAACCAGCAGACAGAAGATCTCTCTGTGCCTCTTTCTCTGCTTTTCAAATAAATAAATCTTTAAAGAAAATGACAGTATAATAAAAGAAAGTTGTAGGCTAATGTCAGAATATAAACACACAATTCTTAAAGTGCCAGAAAAATGAATTCAACAATATATTTTACTAATTGAATTTAATTCAGGAAGGCAACTCTGGTCTAATATTTGAGAATCTGTCAATATAATCCACATTATTTACAGTCTAAAGAAAAACAATCCCAGGAATATGTAAAGAGAGAAAAATGGTTTGTGAAAATGGCTTATTCCGTGAGCCTATCAGAAAAAAAAAGAGAGAAAATGGAACTTCTTCAACAAGATAACGAGCATCTACAAAAACAACACACAGCAAACATATTACACGCCAAAAAAAGGCCAAATGCAGAACACTTTCTCCCTTTTACTAAGGAGAAAGCAAGGATGTCCACACTTGCATTCAACCTGGGATTTCAAATCCTAGCCAATGTAAGCAAACAAGAAAAGGAAACCAAAGAAGAGAGCAAATAAAAACGGTCCTGTTTGCAGATGA